TGTCGAAAACAAAATGAAAACAGCCGAACGTTTCGAACTTGTTCAAACACGCACGTATCTCATTTCCCTGCTGTCCTTCAACGAGTTAAGATCTAACGCGAACGTGACGTATATTAAACTATTTAATAATTTTATTTCTAACGTTATCTAATTACAACATTCGACAACTGCGCTGATTAGACGACTTTTTATATCTAACATTGATTCTTTATGACAGAATATTTTTAAAAGTGTGTGAAATGCCTTCAGGAATGATTTACAGGGAATATTGTACTATAATATAATCTTTAGTATTTTTCAGCTTCTTATATTTTTATTTAATTTTATTTTATTCATCGCCATCCTAACGGTAGGATACTCATCCTGCAATCATCAATGAAGACTAAAAGTAAGTATATTTTTCTATCAAAAATTTCTATAATAACTTCAATGGTTTTTTATTACGACGATGACATTAATTGTTCTTTTTCTTTTTCTGTTTCAGAACGTCATTACAATCGAGCGCGTAGGCAATGAAGTACTTGTGTGTTGCATCGATAAAATAAAATATAAAATAATCGGAAAGTAAAGTCAGTGTTGTACGCCGTATGTAAAAGTTTCGTTTTTTCGTGTAAAGAAACTCCGTAAGTTTCTTTTATTCGGTTTAAACGTGTGTTCATCCTTATCCTAAGGGTAGGATACTCATCGTGCATTCATCACTGAAGAATAAACGTAAGTCAATTTTTATTTTAAATACTTTCTCAGTCATTATAATAATTTTTCCTAAACCAATGATATTCATAATTTTGTTTTTATTTCTGCTTTAGATGATCATGGGAATATTGCAACGTTGGAAGTGTTTGTGAATTGTGTTTGTAAAGTGTTGCAAGTGTTCGTGCATTGCAATCGTGCGCGAAGCAATATACGGGAGTGTTTGATCGTTTAAATATAATTAAAATCACGGATTAGAAGCACGTTCGTTCGTTAATTTCAATTTCGTCGCGTTCGCGAACTATTTTTGCAATTTATATATTAAATTAACTGCGACCAATGTAGTAATTGCATTAGAGTTTGTTCAAGTAAAGTTGTATTTTTATCTTTAAACAGTCACACAGACTGTTCGCGTATTAGAGTCAGTGCATCAATGAAGATTTTAAATTCAACGTGTTTCGGGATTAAAATAAAGTGTGAAATTTTTTTGTTTCAATAGACTGTGTGTAAAGCAATTTTTGAATTAGTTGTAGAGTCAGTGAAGGGGCGTAAAACAAATTAAAATCAAAAGCGAATTAGATTCAATGTGGTTCGCCGTATAATTTAATTTCGGTTTCGCGATAAGAAACTCATCTATAGTTTCTTATTTTCGTTTATACCGTGTCATTAGATTCACGCGAGATGCATTACCATGATGCCATTGAGCTTCATCCTATTGGAATGTATTGTGAGTATTCATTTTTATTAACATTTTATTCGTTTTTGTTTGATATGATTTTGGATCATATTACATATAACTTATCATTTTGTTCTATTTTATTTTACAGATATGACGACGGACTTTCAACCTTATCAAAGATGTGGGATGAATTCTTCGATGGATCATCGATGGATCTCCTTCAATAACAAATCGAGGAACTCTTTGATCGTCAGATTACAATATTTGCTGCAAAGTAGGAGTGTGTGTTTTGGAGCCATCGTAGAACTTCTTACGGAGTGAGTCAACAAATTTAAAGTCTCTCCGGTGCTCAATCATGTCGAGGATGAAAGGTTCTAATCGGCACGAGTTACTGGTTGTAATTATTCCAATAAATTAGTGACGAGCACATGAGTAATTCCTTTCTAGGAGTTACTCATGAAAATTGTATATTGTATTGTATATTTTATATTAGTTTAGGATAGGTTTTCTTGTCTCATTGGTTAAATTCATTTAATTAAGAATGCAATTAATTAATGCACTTTCTTTCTTATTACGTATTTTGTTTGTGGTTAGTAGTGGTGAAATCGAGTATTAATTTACTCGTTTTCGTCCAGAAAAGCATGTAATAAATGTCTTACATGCATTGCTTCGTACTTAGTTTATCTAATCGCGATTAAATTCGATATATCGATACCTCGATATTATAAATAAATGAGCAAGAAGACAAAATCATTCGCGACGGATAGATTCTAGCAGTTAAGTGGTGGCTCAAAGCCCAGTTCTTTTATTAGAACAGCCAACTTAATAAAAGGAGTCGTCCGCGGTTGTTTATATATATTTATTTTCCTTTTCTAAAATTCTTAAATATTAAAAAATTAAATTTAACAAATTCTTGCATATTTAAAAAGTCAAATCCAAATGACTTGTAGAGTCTTAGCCCGTTTAGATGAAATAAAATGTTTTGATATATTTTATAAAATAAAGTGTTTTGATGTTCTTATATATGTTAATCATGTTTTTTAGATCAGGATTTTCTGCTTCTAATATACTAATCTCCCGTTTCTCCCCCCTGTACTTTCTGCATTCTCATATATACTTTTGCCTAGGTGCTATTCGTATGGGTGAGAAACAGTTAGTATAAGTTTAGTTTTAAGTTTTTTCCTTATTGGCGGCTGTCATTGTGCTAGTGATTGCATGATGTACTTTGCACCTGTATGTGCGTATTAGGTAAAGTGTGTTGTACATCGTTTCGCGATAGTTTTTAATAAATACATCATTCAATATACAGAATATTACCTGTACAATCACCTATAATATATACTTGCATCTTTCTATTTATATTAAATTTTTCTAATTTTTTTTTTCGTAATAAAATCGTTTTGAATAGTAGAGTTACCGCATTTATTTGTGGAAACTTTGATATATTCGTATATTACTATTATGCATATATACTAGTATAGACTAGTATTTTGGATTTAGTCATATTTGCAATAATCATTAGCCTTGGCAGTCGATTACAGTAATTGGTACGTACCCCTATAAAATTAGAAAACACGCGTTTGAACTAGGGTGTCGGAGGTGCCCCGGGGCATGCTCTCTAATTTAGGCTTTTGCACCCTGGTGGTATGTGTGAGAATTGTGGAGTGAGTGAGTGAGTGGGTATGTATATGTTTGCTCTTTTTAGATATTGCCAATATACAGGCAGGTAGGATACCTAGGTGTGAATGTTTATTTTTATTTGTAAGTAAGTAGAGACCGGAGAAGTCGCGCGATTGTAATTTCCACTCAAGAGTGGAAAATTACTTCTCCGGATATTATACAATGTTTCAGCAGCCTTTAGATTTATTTATCATTTAAATATTTCTCTTATTTTTTCCATATATTGCTGATACTCTGTACCGCGAGATATAAATCATTATCGAACGATTCAAAAGTCTTTGCGTTTTCTTAAAAATTAATTTTTTTTCGAAAAAGTGAAAATAGCTGAATACGTTGGATACTTACTTAGTAGTGAGTATATTAACGCTTTGCTCTTTAATAATTCCTACTGAATACTTCATTTGTTTTATATGTATAGTAAATACAAAGTAGAGTAAAGGTAAAAGATAAAAGTGGTCGAGTAAAAAAGACCATAGTGTATTACAAGACCAAAAGATGTAATACAAAGTTTCTGCTTTTGTTTGATATTATTTAATTTTTTAAATGCAAAGTATTAATACTAGGTTCATCGATTAGATCAAATATCTGTTGAGGAATTCGAATAAATGTTAAAAAAAAAGAAGAAAGAAGAGGCTAAATGAAAGAGACAACTACATAAACTATTGAATTATTTTCAAAGGTTTAACAGCAAGTTCAAACTTTTCGAGAATAGCCCTCTAGTTATATTTTATATTTTATTATATTTCTTTTTTGCTTGTCATTAATTTGTAATTGTAATTGAAGATGATGGACCATTCCATCTCCTTGGGACCCCAATTTCGTGTCTATATCGTCCAAAAGATGCATATGTGTTAGTTAGAGTCAAAAATATAAAAATTTTTGTAATATTAAATTTTTAAACTTAAATAACGTTCGGTTAATATTACAGTAATTTCTTTTTTCTTGTTTCATCTTTAAAATTTTTCATTTTGATTGTATTTTATTAAATTTGCAATTTTTCTTTTCTACATAATGCAGCTTAAAAGTATTTCATAATAATTAATAGATATTATTTTTTGTAGTAACTTAATATTTGTACTTTTCCTATTTCTCTTCATTTTTATATATTTTATGTAAATGTAAAATCACGCGTTTAAATTTAATTTCATTACAACGGTAAATAGAGATTTGATAAAAATAAGTATAAAATTCAGTTGAAAAGTGCATCTGCGAATTGGACGATTTCTATGTTAGGCTATTATATCACTTGATTGTATGATTAATATAGTTTTCTTTTTGTTACAGGTGATCATCGTTGGATTAATCATCTACTCGTTTTGATTTTCGTCTACTTTTTAAAATATATATGTATAAAAAACGCATTTCTGAAGGTACACACGTATTTAGATACTAAAAATTTAATATAATTATTTTAAATTTTCTTACAATATAACTATACTATATATACTATCAAAGAATACAATATTCTCTGATATTATTGTACCGTCATCACGTTAAGTACATACTATCGCCCACTGGTGGTCCCGGTTATAACAAAAATGAAACTGGGTAGATAAAAAAGGGGACTTGTGAGCTTCTATGGACTTCTGTATTCTTTGGGACGACATTAAAAAATAATGTGTGTGTTTCAAAAATAACATAATATTATTTTATTTTTTGATATTCTTTTTGCAATCTGTTTAAAATATGTCATAAAAATGTTTAATATCATTAAAAAGAAAGGAAATATTTAAGTTTTCTCAACTTAAACATTTTGTGTACGTATTTATATATTATAAGTTAGAATAATATTTGTGCGTTATTATGATAGACTTTTGATATATAGCATGATTGTGTTGCTTCTATGCACACTTCTGTATATGCCTTGATAAATATTTTTTTAGTAAATTTTTTTATTTTTTTTATTTTTATTTTTCTCTCAAAATAAATAAAATCCTTACATTGTAACTTAGAATAGTATATTCATTTTAAAGGAGCTAAATGATCATTTATGGAAGTGTAAGATATTTTTATAACTCTTAATGTAATGTGAGCGTTCACAATTTTTTAAAAAGCTTGAAATAAGTTCACGACCATGGTAGAAATTTCATTATTAGTTCATTCTTTTAAGTAAATTATTATGGTACCTCTTAAAGTAACATAGTAAATTTACCCGGAAAAATATAAAACTCTAACTTAAGATTAGATAAAATTTATAATAAAGTGATTTTATAACTCTATATTAAAAAAGTATGAATGGTCACAATAAAATCATTTCCACTTCAAGCAATTAAACATATTCCAATATATAAGTAATAAATTGCAAAGAGATACTCAACAAAAGTTAATGTGAGAGATTTATAATGATAGTATATGTGATTTATAGACCATGTCATTAGGTAATTGTCAGATGAAATTATGACTTATTTTTTACTATTTAACACGTTGAGACCAGATTGAAATTGTTGGTCGTATTTGTAATGCAGTATAGCAAAAGTTTCTTTTAAAGAATTAACTTTTTAGGATAGGAATTTCACTAACTATATTACAGATCCATCAAAATAGGACAATTTAAATTGATTTTACAAAATAAGGAAATAGAAGAATTGTGATAGCAGAAAATAAAAAATTGTTACTATTATGGATATTCAAGATAGAGAAAATATAAAAGTAAAAAGATTACGAAAGGATAATGATGAAGCAAAAAGTAAATTTGCACAAAGTATAGCAACTAAGTATCATCTTCAAGAATTTAAAAGTTTTTTATATACATTAGAAGGAAGCCATATGTTTAATGTTCTGTATAAAAATCAAGTTCATCGTAATATGTCTAGTATTTTATGTGGAGCAGGAATTAAAGCTGAAAAAGCTTTTAAAGATCTTTATAATCTTTGGTTTGATAGTGAAGGAAATCCAACAATATATTTACAAAATTTAGAAAAACATGGGGCAAAACTACGTAATATGTCTAGTATTTTAAATGGAACAGGCACTAAAGCTGAACAAGCTTTTGAGGATCTTTATGATCTTTGGTTTGATAATAAAGGAAATCCAACAAAATATTTAAAAACTCTGGAAGAACACGGAGTAAATTTATGTAATATATCTAGTATTTTACATGGCACAGGCACAAAAGCTAAACAAGCTTTTGAGGATCTTTATAATCTTTGGTTTGATAATGAAGGAAATCCAACAAAATAT